TGATAGTTGCATATTCAAAAAATAAGAACTTAAATGATAATATTGTTCATAGTAAACTAAAAACAATCAGTACATAACAGATACTATACTTCTCGCCCATCGGACGAGTTATTTTTTCTAATTTCAGGTCAGAATAAGAACAGAAGAAAACCCAATATCAAGACCCTTAATCCTAATTTTTTATTTAAAGTGTCTGCTCCACCCTAGGCCTGTACATTTGGGAGAATCAAACCCCCCCTTCCCCGAAAACTAATGGTTTAACGGCAGTTCGTAAAGCTTTTAATAGAAAACCGTATCCAAACAGACCCGACGATGCAATTCTACAGCTTTTAGAGATTTGTCTTAGTCGACACGATTTCACATTTAATGGTAAAGCATATTTACAAACTTCAGGGACAGCAATGGGCAAACTATTCGCCCCTTCGTACGCAAACCTTTTCACGGAAGAGTGGGAACGTGAGGTGTTGCCCCTCTGTCCATTTGACCCACTTTTTTACGGACGCTTTTTGGATGACATTTTTATGGTTTGGACTTATTCTATCGAACAGTTTTGGGAATTCTTTGATATTCTCAACAACCACCATCCTTCTATCAAAATAACCGCAAACGTGAGTGACAAAACCATAGACCTTCTCGATACCACAGTCTTTAAGGGAGATTCCATAGCAGAAACAAATAAACTGGATATTAAAGTGTATTTCAAAGAAACTGATACTCATCAACTCTTGCACAAGAGCTCCTTTCACCCAAAACATACCTTTTCTGGTATAATTAATTCACAAGTTTTACGATTTCATCGAATTTGTACAAGATCTTCTGATTTCAACCAAGCCTGTACGATTGTTTTCTCAAAACTGAAAGAGCGTGGGTACTCTTAACGATTTTTACGAAACATAAAAAATTCCACCTTAGCAGAGAAAACAGACTTTATGCCGAAGTACCTCCAGGTTTAAGAAGTGATCCATGATTGTCCAGTAGATGCAAAACATGTCCCTTTATATCAGAAACTCATTATTTTGTAAGCAACTCTACGAATAAAAGGTACCCGATCCAGGAACATCTAACATGTGAACATTCGAATGTAATATATTTAATTTCATGCAAGAAATGCCCCAAACGATATGAAGGAGAAACTAAGAATAATTTACGAACTCGCTTTAATGCTCATAGGCCAGACGTCAAATTAAAGAAAGACAAGTCTGTTTCTAATCATTTCAACCTCGACGACCATTCAATAGACGATCTCGCCCTAATCCCAATTGAGCGTATAGAAATTGACTTGCCCGATGACGAAACTACCAAATTCCGTCAATCTAGGGAAGCCCATTGGATTGAGACATTGAATACAGCAAGACCTATAGGACTAGATATTCATCATAATGTAGGCATAGCACCCTTTGTTGTCCCGTTTAATACAACCAGCAATCGAGCAAGCAAGATAGTTCATGCCCACTATAAGAGCCTTCAAGAGAAATTCCCCCATGTCTATAAGCAGAAAATGATAGTTGCATATTAAAAAAATAAGAACTTAAATGATAATATTGTTCATAGTAAACTAAAAACAATCAGTACATAACAGATACTATACCTCTCGAGTTATTTTTTCTAATTTCAGATCAGAATAAGAACAGAAGAAAACCCAATATCAAGACCCTTAATCCTAATTTCCAAATAAAGTGTCTGCTCCACCCTAGGCCTGTACATTTGGGAGAATGAAACCCTCCCTTCCCCGAAATCCATTATCTGTTGATATTTTTATTTGATTATTTTTTTCGTTGATATTTCTAATGGAATTGTAAACAGAGAAATACTTTAAACCCAAATCATATTCTTGATTACGATCGAGTTCGTACTCATAATCTAGAGACAATTTAATGTCTGATTTATTTGAGGTGATAACGAATAGTTGTTCTTTATTTGACATTTTTAATCACGCTTTTATAATCATTTTTATCTATAATACCTTTCTCTAGGAGTCTTTTTAATATACAATTTACTTCATTATATTGTCTGTGTGATCGATGTCCTTCCTTCCTTGCCGCTAATATTACTCGTAATCTATTAAGTAGTTCCTCGTTGATGTCGGATAAAAACGTTATACCTTGTCCAGATGCCATCATATCATCCAATTCGTCTATATCTTGTGTGATAGGTGAATAATCTTCTGCATAATCTTCTACCTCCTTTTCATCTTGCCCAATAACTTTTGTTATATATAGATCAACTGCTTTCTATCTTCTTGTTTCGGGTCCTGACTTTCTAATTGCATGTAGAAATTTTGAGTTTGCAACTAAATCCTTATAATTGGCAATGCCAACATCCTCGCCATTCATTAAATCTATTAATCCTTTTGTCAGTGTGTATATAAAATCTTTGTATCGATTTTGAATAAAGGGCAATTTGGACTAAATTTTATTCTAAATCCATTAAACAATAACCCCTCTTCATCAAAGATTTATCGTTTAATTCAAATAAGTAAAAACAATTTGCATTTTTTCTAATGGACATAGAATCCATCCCGTAAAAAGATTGGGATTGGTATATGCAGTGACAGTTGTGATGTCTTCCCTTCGTGAAGAATTCTTGTTAAACAGCTTGATTTATTTGCGCTACGCAGTCTTGAAACAATATTAAGTTCTTACGATTGCTATCAATATTAGACAAGTCTAGATCATTAACATTTTTCGTAAGAAAAACTTTTATATCCGTTGGATTCTTTGATTTAATGAAGTTTTCTATGGTATCTTTTATTTCCACTTCTTTTTCGTTTTCTTCGTAATATTGAAATATGTCTTGAACATCTTTCTATGGTAAATATTCTAAAGCTTTGAGAAATTGATAATACGATTGCTCTGATGTTGTTTTATAGATATATAGTGAATCGAAATCTAAAAGGTTTGGTGTTGTCAACATGTTAAAAGTGAGATGAGTTTTCCCAGAACTAAAACTACCGCATATACACATGAGCATTGGTTATTAAGAAATATTTCTGAATGTTTGAATTTCTCTCCCATTTTTTATTATTTTATTTTGTTCCAAAAAATCACTCCATCTCCTTTATACTTTGAAAGATATATTCCTTCTACAGTACGTATGTTTTGACTTTGACTTCTCCTGTGTCAATACTATCTACTAATTTATTTAATCCTTGTTTAACATTTTTCTTGGTTTCTTCCCCAAATCGTTTTCCAAATTCTTTTCTTGTGCCTATCATATCTCCCACTCCTGGACCCTTTTTTTGCAGTAGCTGCTTTCTTTGCTTGCTTTTCCATTTCCAAATTGTGTATATGTTCTTCGGCAGCTGTTACTTTAGCTGCTTTATCTTCGTTGGCAGTACCTACTCCAGCAGCTGTAGCACCAGCTATTGCACCCGCCGCGGTAAGACCAGCAAATATCAAAGGTAGGGAAAATATAAATCCACCTTCCTTTACACTCTTGTCAATTCTTTCTAAGTCTATATCATCTCTGACTTTACAATATTTGTATTTATCAATAAGTTTTTTAGTTATGCTGATTTTTTTACCATTGAAAGTTATTACAGTTGGTGAAGCTGTTTCAATAGCTTCTATTATTTTCATAACTAAAGTTTCTACTTTCATTTTTAAGGGTATATTTCTTACTCAATTCTTATCATTCTTCTATCTGCTATTTTAATTAAATGTTTTTCTTCTTCCAATAATAAACAATACCCGGTCACATCTCCTTGTGTTTTTTCAATATGAATATTTATGTTTACTCCTGTTTTGAAAAGATCTTCTTGGTGAGCTGATAGATCAAAACAGAAGATTGGATGATTAAGTGCAAAATCTACATATTTAAACTTAGGTAGATTTCCAAATAATTCACACATATTTTTATAGTTTATATACAATTCATTATAATCCTTTGTGGTTGGATTAATTGTTACTAGTGTTAGGATAATTATCGTTGTTTAATCTTACTTGAACTTTATGGATTAAAGGATCTTGAGTTTGGTTCATTACCACGAGATGAAATAAATAATCTCAAGGATAAGAAAGGTAGATTTTGTGCGATAACAAATATACATACTTAAGATCAAAACGGAGTTCATCACTCTGCTTTATACAAAGACTCTTTAAATAACTTTTATTTGTTCGATTCTTTTGGATTAGAACTAACTGAAGAGATAATGCAATTAGTGAAACTGACTAATCAACCAATCAAATGTTCAACATTTCAAATTTTAATTACCAGTTCAAAAAGTTTTGTGGACAGCTTTCGCTTTGGGTTTTATATCAATTAAATTTAGGAAAACAATTTGAAGAAATTAATAAAGTAAGAAAGTAATAAATTTAACTTAATAAAAATGGCGAATAAATTTGTATTAGGTTCTTTACCTTTATATACTAAAAAACCTAACACTACAGCATGGATAAATAAAGCAAAACCTTATTTTGTGGAACAAATTGGATTTCGGGGAAGGGAGGGTTTGATTCTCCCAAATGTACAGGCCTAGGGTGGAGCAGACACTTTATTTAGAAATTAGGATTAAGGGTCTTGATATTGGGTTTTCTTCTGTTCGTATTCTGATCTGAAATTAGAAAAAATAACTCGCCCGATGGGCGAGAAGTATAGTATCTGTTATGTACTGATTGTTTTTAGTTTACTATGAACAATATTATCATTTAAGTTCTTATTTTTTGAATATGCAACTATCATTTTCTGCTAATAGACATGGGGGAATTTCTCTTGAAGGCTCTTATAGTGGGCATGAACTATCTTGCTTGCTCGATTGCTGGTTGTATTAAACGGGACAACAAAGGGTGCTATGCCTACATTATGATGAATATTTAGTCCTATAGGTCTTGCTGTATTCAATGTCTCAATCCAATGGGCCTCCCTAGATTGACGGAATTTGGTAGTTTCATCTTGGGGCAAATCAATTTCTATACGCTCAATTGGGATTATGGTGAAATCGTCTATTGAATGGTCGTCGAGGTTGAAATGATTAGAAACAGGCTTGTATTTCTTTAATTTGATGTCTGACCTATGAGCATTAAAGCGAGTTCGTAAATTATTCTTAGTTTCTCCTACATATTGTTTGGGGCATTTCTTGCATGAAATTAAATATATTACATTCGAATGTTCACATGTTAGATGTTCCTGGATCGGGTACCTTTTATTCGTAGAGTTGCTTACAAAATAATGAGTTTCTAATATAAAGGGACATGTTTTGCATCTACTAGACAAACATGGAGCACTTCTTAAACCTGGAGGTACTTCGGCATAAAGTCTGTTTTTAGCTGCTATCTGTGCTAAGGTGGAATTTTTTATGTTTCGTAAAAATCGTTTAGAGTACCCACGCTCTTTCAGTTTTGAGAAAACAATCGTACAGGCTTGGTTGAAATCAGAAGATCTTGTACAAATTCGATGAAATCGTAAAACTTGTGACTTAATTATACCAGAAAAGGTATGTTTTGGGTGAAAGGAGCTCTTGTGCAAGAGTTGATGAGTATCAGTTTCTTTGAAATACACTTTAATATCCAGTTTATTTGTTTCTGCTATGGAATCTCCCTTAAAGACTGTGGTATCGAGAAAGTCTATGCTTTTGTCACTCACGTTTGCGGTTAGTTTGATAGAAGGATGGTCGTTGTTGAGAATTTCAAAGAATTCCCAAAACTGTTCGATAGAATAAGTCCAAACCATAAAAATGTCATCCAAAAAGCGTCTATAAAAAAGTGGGTCAAATGGACAGAGGGGCAACACCTCACGTTCCCACTCTGCCATGAAAAGGTTTGCGTACGAAGGGGCGAATCGTTTGCCCATTGCTGTCCCTGAAGTTTGTAAATATGTTTTACCATTAAATGTGAAATCGTTTCGACTAAGACAAATCTCTAAAAGCTGTAGAATTGCATCGTCGGGTCTGTTTGGATACGGTTTTCTATTAAAAGCTTTACCAACTGCCGTTAAACCAGTAGTGTTATCGATATTGGTATACATAGAAGAAACGTCGATAGAAATTAAAATAGCATTAGAGGGAACTCGAAGATTTTTTATTTTATTGACAAAATCGGTTGTGTCTTTAAGGTAGGCGCGATGTTGGCATGCTAGAGGTAGTAAGAAATGATCAATGTATTCTGACACTGCATATGACTCACTACCACAGTCAGATATAATCGGGCGGCCTTTAGGGATTTTATTCGAGATAAACCACTCCTTGGTTGGATTCTTATGGATTTTAGGCAAAGTGTACAAATGTCTCTCGCGACAATCAGGTTTGGCAGACAGATAGTCATATTGTTTCTGTTTGAGATAACTAGTTTTGACTAAATCGGCAAGAATATTATTAATCATGTTAGCAGTTTCTTTGAAAATTGGTTTCGGTAAAATGGCATAATGTTTAGGATTATTCAGTTGATTCTCTGCTTCTGAAACGTAATCCTCCCTATTCAGAATGACACAACATGAACCTTTGTCACTCTTTTTAATAACAATGCTATCGTCTTTCTTAAGTAAGTTTAACGCTTCACGTTCCACTGTGTGAGATTAGGCTTTTCGTGTGTTATGGAAAGGTTCACTGTTTGGCTATTCATACTCGCAAATGCTTTCAATATTTCAGGATGGATGGCGGCCT